TTCAGTTACACTGGTAGGCCGTTTTATCAGGAACCCACACATGTGTAGTACATTTTGTTCATTTGCATATGTAAAATAAACGGAGCACGTGATGTATCAGGCAATTTTTGAAGCATGTAAATGCATAGATGTTGCCATAAAATGGTAATCTGCAATCAAGGGCACCCACAGAAAAAAAAATTGGGGAGGGAGCAAGAAACTCAAGTTTGAAAAAAATATGACATCAAAATACAAATACCTTATGATTTTCCAATGACATAGAAGAGTAATTATACATATCTAGTAATTGTTTTTTATTTTTGAAAATCTAGGGGGGGTCCAATGATCCCCCTTGCCCCTTATTGCGGGCGCCCATATCTGCAATACAATAGATAAAATCAAGAGTGTCTGATCAACAGTAAGAGCATTATCTGGCTATTTAAATTAAGCATCTGATATAAGAACTAACCAGTAGTGGCAATGGAAAGGAAATATGCCTACTACTAACAAAACTGTTGGCGCAAACTGCTAGTGGCAGAACAAAATAAAAGACGATTTAACAAGCTTTTACAATGCAATAGATGTCAGATTATGCCCCAGTTGATCGACTCCTTCAAAGTAGTCAGACTTCAATTATCTCCAACTGTACGTACTGTGTGAAAGTCATAAAAGTAGTTATCATATGGTAACTATAGCTTATTTTGGAAGTTTTTATTTGTGATGGTTGAAGTTCAAATTGTGAACAATGAACCTCTATAACTATTTTATTTGGTCTGACGGTTCACTTTTCACCATTTTCTGTCCTGTTACAGTAAAAAACAGAGAAGAACCTCTCATGCCTATGCTTTTCCAAAAGTGCATGTTACTGAAGGTGATACAATGGTGTGGAGAACGTTATTTTGATAAGGGTTGTCTCCTTTCATTGTTTTGAAAGGCGAATAACAGACAGATTGTACCTGAACGAAATTTCCTTCGTAACGATGCACTTCCACTTCAATAAACAAAGGCTCCTCTAAGACATTAATTTAGCAGTTTACTGTGCTCACTTTATCTAAAAATGACTAATCATCTTCTTTCGTCAGCACAAATACCCAATCTAAATCCAACAGATCATCTTTACAATAATCTTCTGTGACGTGATCCTCTTCCGGCATGTTTGAACCAATTGCATACCATACTCCCGGCGAAAGGGATGCAAAAATATCCGGCTGGTATCTCAGCAATAGGTGGCCCAATTCAATATTGTGTTGGGAATTTCAGTAAATTGGTCAATCAGTGTATTTTAGCAATGAAGAGTATGTATTCTAGAAGTTAACATTAATCAAAATACAAAGTTTCACCCAATTAATATGGCATCTATTTATCTTTTTTTTTCACCTAATGATAATAATTTAGCCTGACGAAATATCGTGTATTAATCAAATTTATGTTATGTTTATAATAAACCCAGATCCCATCAAATGTTTAATTATATCATCAGAGGGAGCTATCGTTTAAAAAAAAAGACTTTTATTAAACACATGAAAAAAAGAAACTTTTGTGATCTTATGTTAACATAGTTTATTATTAGGTATGAAAAGCTGTTAAGTTTCACGGGAATCTGATGATATGTTCCGTTTCAGCAAAAACGCGCTCCGCACTTTTGGGCTGTGGCTGCAATTGTAAAAGTGGCATTCAAATCCTATTATTCGTTTAGAGTAGCCCGAGAGTTGGCGGTGAGTGCAGTTGACTAGCTGCTTTCCTGCTTTACTATTAGTATACAGTTAGGGACAGTTAATATACCTAGTCAATTGCAAAACTTAGAAAATTTCTGTAGATATGAAAATATACCACAAAGTGTCGGACAATAGTGCTTAATCATGCCCATCAGAGTGAGCATAATCAACGATATGTGAAGTACATCCAAGAGCAGTACAGAATTTAGAACATTGTTCTTACTAAAGTACGATTAACTTCACAATATATTTAAAAGTCTATAACATGAAACCAATTATAAAAAAAAGCGATATCCTGCTGCATTTTATTGTAAAAACCGCACTTATAATTTTGTTATTTAGACAATACTTTATCAAGCAGAATTTCTGTCAACTTTAATGAATTATTACAACAAATTAGCAACAAATAAAGGATAAAAATATATTTTAACGTCTGTCAAAATTAATTAGCAAATATTGCTTATAACTTTATACCAATATTTTATAATAATTTACCCATATAATTCTATACTGGGTATCATATTACAGGAAGACTCCCGGATATTAATAGCCAAACACAATGTCAGGATTACAAGAAATTTCTTAATCCGTAGGCTCTGTTTAGTGGGCCAAAAAAAAAAAAAAAAAAAAGGTAGAAAATTATCGCACATTCACCTGAAAAAAAGCTCATACTAAAAAGTCTCTTTCAAGAAAGACATTATGCCTCATATTTAATATCCAGAAGTCCTCTTGTAATATTCAGCTGATATTCAAAAATGAAATAATTAATAATAATTGTTACAGTTCGTTCTAGTATTACTAATACTATTAGTAATCTAGGGCCTTGGCTCGACTGTACTGTCGTCACTAAGACAGGGTGATTGATATTACAGATTGCTTCTCCCATATACTGGTCAGTTTTACTATCGATTTAATTGTTTCCTTAACGGATTTATTTTTTTCCGCTACATTTCTTCTCGAAAAAATCCACATACGCAAAAAAAAATAGGATGTATCGTATGATTGATCATTCATCACTTGCTAAACAATCAGCCATTTTTTCTGTATGCAAAACACTGCCATGCCTTTAATCGAAGTCACGTGAATTAGTGGTAACCTTTTGTTATTGAGAGTATGGGCGATTTCTGTGCGTCTCTATATATTATTGTGCTTATCTTCAAACAAACATATACAGCATCACCTACATAATATTATTATTACTGTGCTAGGAATGTATAAGTGCTTC